AGAACATTGAAAGTTAATTAAAATCAATAGTTGTGGTAAAATTTGAGGATATATGAGAATGTTGGAATGAGAGTTACTGAAGCAAAAATGTCACCCACATTCTTATTCAAAAAACTATAAGACGAATATGACAGAATATCGGATTTATACATGAGACCAGTACTGCCTATTGAATTCAATGAACTTTTAATGTTTTCATGAGATATATACTTTCTTGATTGAATCGAACTTAAAATAGATCTTTTTTGTACTTACAAAGAGTTACTCCACTAGTCGACGATCTTGACATCGTTCTTTCCAGATTTTTGATTTTCTTGGTTATCAGTCAAGATTGTTTTGCCATTCCATCTATACCAGATTCTTGCCTGAAAGAACAGATGTGGACCTTCTGCAAGATTCTTGTGTTCTTGTCTCATTCTTTTTTTCTGTTAAATCTTGCCTGATTCGTTTTTCTTGAATTTCTGATATCATTTCTTTTTTTTATTGAATTTCACATGTTCATTAGCGTAGAAAGTAAATAATACAAATAGCTAATTTACAAAAAAAAATTAAAGAAAACAAATATTAACATATTTTATGTTCACTAATATGCCTATTTATTATTAGAATTTGTTTTCTTCATATTTATCAGCTGAAGTCGACGATGATTCACTCGGTACTAAGCCGTGGTTTTCATCACGTTGTTTTCCAGAAGCTCTAAAACTAGCTATAACATTACCCATTAATATGGTAATGAGTTCATCGTTACTATCAAATAATTTCACTTACCTGATGTTGAGATAAAAATCAAACATTGTTTAACTAGAATGTCTCTTGTTCGTTTAAATGAATAGAATAGTTTTAACTTATTGTATCTTAAAAATAAAATATTTTACGAATGTCGACATGTATATATATATATATATGAATACAGTTTAAAATAAAAGACCAAAAGTTTTAGATGCATTTGTATTTTGCTAATTGAGGCGTTTCTGCTCGATTACTTCTTGTTTATTTATTTTATGTTGTGGTGGCTCATATTCTTGAAGAAGTAAAGTATTTAATGGAAGCATCGACTCTCGTGGACTTAACGAATAGTTTCGATCAATTTTATCGAGCCATTGTAGAACTCTTTCATTCAATCAATTTGCGTTTAGTTTGATTAATTTTTTATTTTTAATCATATAATCTGGAACTATTGAATGATGTTGTCGTTGATCACCATATAATATACGGTCGGCTCTCATTTGAGTGGAATCTGATGCAATTTGCACTGCATCAAAAGCATTCTGTATATCATCAATAATCTTTGATGAGTGACTGCGAAGTTTGAATTTGAAATTTTCGTTAGATGGTAGATGTTCTCGATGTTTATTATTTTTAAAATGAGCGACGCATGCTCCCCAGGGCTGCCATTTCTTGTTTTACAAATGGGGTTTATGAAAGTCCAAATAGGGTACATTTGGGGTACATTCGTTTTTAAAACGGGGTACACTCTTGGGGGACATTATTTTCCTTCTAAGATAGACGATTTAATTGAGGAAACCGATGAAGTATAGCTTCTTTTGTAGGAAATAATACAATATTTCACTATTTTAATAACTGGATCAGCTGTATTGTTCGTTTTCCCTCAAAAAGCATCACGCTAGTTTATTCGTGACGGCTGTTGCAAAAGTTCTAGGACAAATACGTATTCGTTTTTCATTGACTAAAACATGTTTCCAAAGAATCGAAAATATCTATTCTTGAGGGTCTTTTTCGATTGTCTTCAATTCGTTCCAGTATTTTGTCGTCGTTTCCTCATTACATGCGTCGTTGGATTCTGTGCGAACCAGGTAAAAAACAGACGGCATTACTTTAGGCAGCATGATCGAAAAATTGAAAAGAATGATCTACAGAATAACGTCAAAACCGAATGTCTAACGATAACGAGCAGAAAGTGCTTTGAGATTCGAATGACGTCCTCGAAAAGAAAGAAATCAGGCGAACTAGGAACCACGAGAGATCTGAAAAACTCGCCTGTCAATAGGCGAGACTTCTTGTATTACAAATTCTTAGAAACGACAAACTTCAACATCGCACAAAAAAAAAATAGCAACTAAAAGATGCTAAGACCAGAGACACCGATTTTTCAAGTGTTACCTCAAGAAAATAGTAATATTTTCGCGACAGTTTCTTCACAGTGAATGGAATGATCTAATAGCGAAAAACAATAAGCAAAATTGCGTCAAATAAACTGAAGAAGATCATGAAATTCTAATGGTATAGTAACTTTGCAGTGGCCGTTTTCCTTTTCCACTTTGCATTTTTCTGTACTCAAAAAAGTGTTCATTACTTGAAAAATGAGTCGCGACAGAACATTTTTGAATATATACAGTTAAAAAAGAGCTTTTGACATGAATTCTAGGCTGTGGGTGTGGGTAGTTGTGGATGTAACACTTGGTATGAGTAAACATGAAGAGTTCACACACCCACACACACACCCACATCCACCCACACCCACATCCACCCACACTCACACCCGCACCCACACCCACACCCACACCCACCCACACCCACACCCACACCCGCATCATCTATTGAAGAAAAATGGTCTCACACTAAAAATTGAATATCTCAGCAACGATTTGAACTATCAAGGTGCGGTTGGTGGCAAAAAAACTCATTAATTGATGCACTTTTAAAATATGTAAGTGGAATCAAAATTTAAGAAAATCGATTGAGCAGCGTTGGTCGTGGCTTATGTGCAATGGCTGTTAAGATACATTTTCAAAAAAGGATATTCTGACTCATACATTTTCGAAAGTTGGGGAAATTTTTCAGCTTTTCCTGCGTGCTGCAGAGAAGCATCAGCAGATTCTGCACACCTGACTTGAGTAAAAATACTGTTTTTGGCCTTGTTCTGCTATTTTTTATGTGAAAACGTTTCTTTGACTCATACCGCTCTATTTTTCCAAAGTAGTCGCTTTGAAACTCGCACTATTCGATACAAAATTCCATTCTGCATCTGATAAAGCAAACTACATGATAAACATAGGTCGAAGAACAAATCTTTTCAGAGACACACTAGAAGAACAGGCCGCAAAACAGTATTTTGACTTGAACCCTCCTTTTCTCGGAAGTAGTCCCTTTGAAAGTGGTCCGACAAGTTCGGGACTTTTTTGTTATATGTTTTTAAATTCAGTGAAAAAAAGTCATTAATTTATTTATTCTCATATTTTCAAAAAGAACCTCTCACTTCTCTTTATTCTTTGAAAATAATCATTATATTTAAGTCTTTGCGTTGTAGATAAAAACTTATATTCTTAATCGTCCGAAAAACATCATTTATTTGTTTTGTATTCTTTAATTTACGAAAACCATAATCGAAACGTCATCTAAATATATACTGAAACGAAAATGATGAAATCAACAACATGGTACCGTGACTTTTAGTCTTTCTCATTTCAAAAAATTCTAATTCCATTTAGGTTTTTGTACATGCAATCTCATTAATACATACGTGATACAATACAATGAATATGAAACAAATCTATTGGATCAGTTTTCAAAAATCAATGCAGATAAAAACCTATTTTGTCTTAATGATCATTATCTTTCTTTTTCTCTTTATTTAACCTTCGTTCCAATCAATCTAAAGAAATGCATCAAACCATTCTTCTATGAACAAATTTGACGAAAAGTTCATGAGTTAAATTTTTCGCTGACGATAGCGACTATCGGCGAACAATAAAGGTATATATGTGCATCTATTTCCCTATTAACACTATTCACAAGTTGAGAAAAAAATGAGCCAGTCTAACGTTGATTTTCTTGACTTGCCAAATGAAATATTATTACATATTTTGAAGAAATTAGATAATATTTGTGTTTTATACTCGTTATTCGGTGTTATCAATGAACGATTTGACAGTCTATTACAAGACAATATTTTTACAAACACTCTGAATTTACTCACAAATACAGCTGATGATAAATCTTCACTTATCGATCCAATACTTAATCGATTTTGTATTGATATATTACCAAGAATCCATTACAATGTCAAACATCTCATTCTTGAGTCAATGTCTATGAAGCGTATTCTTCTGATTGGCACCTTTCCAAATTTAACGCATCTCAAGGTGTTTAACTTTGGACGACATATCGCTTTAAATTATTTTACAGGTAAATACTCAATATATTTATATATGAAAATAAAAAAGATATAAAACTATTACAATAAACTCTGACGAATGATTTAATTGTTTTTTTTTACTTAGACCAGTCAATCTTTCAACATATTTTCAAACATCAAATAACAGAACTTATTCTTGAAAATAGTGATCAGGACAGTTGGATAATATTATCACAACAATATACTGAAAATGTTTATGCACGAATCTTGACTTTCTTCGAAAATTTAACACATTTAAGTATTGTTAAATCATCATCCATTAGTGGGTATCCACCATTGTCAATACGTGGTTTACCATCAACTATTTTTTTTTCTTCTATTCTTACAAAATTAGATATCAATGTAGAAAGCATAAATGACTGTTTTCATTTACTTGATGGTCGTCTTAAACAATTGACAACATTTATTGTTCAAATTGAGTCTATTGACAATAACTCACGCACTGTTCATAATACTGTAAGTTACTAGTAAATCAAGAGTATGTCGTTCTAGATTACTTGATCAACAATTTCTATTGGAAATAATTAGTTGAATGATTGAAGACAAACTTTCGTTTAAGAGACAAATCTACCAGAGTTTTTCTATGTAAAATAGAATTGATCAAAATTCTATAGAGAGTATTTTTCTTTTAACAGATATATGAGGATTTTTGTCTTAAGATGTTCAAAGCATTCTATTAATAAATATCATACGCAGGTGTTACTGTGAATGGTTAGAAAAATAAAGCAATTGTTTTATTTTTATTGTAAAATGTATGTTTCACGTTAAATATAAGAAATATTTTAAATAGTTGGAAATGAATTATAGTTTATATCGTTCGTGCTTGTGAACGTTTTCCTGAAATTAATAAATATGTGTTTTTATTTTTTAGAATGAGCTACCTAACTTGAAATGTTTTTCATTAAAAAGTTATTATGAAACTAATGCATATGGTCGTCAGGTGATACCTCTACTTCGTTGTATGACACACTTGGAAAAATTAACTTTGTATATTCGTATTTATAATCGATCGACATTTGTTGATGGTACTAATCTCCATAAGGATATTCTTATTCATATGCCACGACTTCATACATTCACTTTTTATATTTCTACTGATATCCAATTCGATGATTCAGTTCATTATCTATCTGATAACGATATTCAACAAACTTTTACAAATATAGGTTATCATCAAATAGCCTGTAGTGTCAATTATTTTTATCGTAAATACAGGGCAGTATGTCATGTTTTCTCACTTCCATTCACATTTAATCGTCTTGAAAAGATTCCCAATAAGTTTCCAAATATAATATTCAATACTGTTACTTATCTGTTGGTAGGTGATTTGATTCCATTCAAATATGACTTCTTCATTCAAATTGCCAAAGCTTTTCCATCATTGAAGGATTTTTGTATTATTAATGTTACGTCACCATTATGGAATTTTGATTCATATACAGCTGATCGGATTGATTCACATTCATATATTGAATATCCGAATCTTACTTCACTTAATGTTAAATATGTCGATAATTATTATATTGAACAATTTTTACTTGATACAAAGACATATGCACCTCATTTAACTGAAATCAAAGTATATTTTAATAAATTGAAAACTGTAACAGAGAATTTTACAAGAGATGCAACACGATACAACTGTCGCAATATAAAACAATTAATTTTTGAAAAGACAATGAATTATCCAAAAGAACTGTATCTCTATTTTCCTTCACTTGTAGTTTGAAATTTGTGTAAGTAAAAATGAATAGTGTAGGAATTTTTTGCTGTATCTTTCTCAAAATAAATAAAGAATGAAGTTCTATAATCGTGTATGACATAATCTGAATATCAGAAAACGTTCATTTGAGTACTTGGAAGTGAATTTAATAAGTAGATTTATTTTGTCGAAAAATGTCTTGTATTTTTTTACTTTTCTTCCCGTAATCCAAAGTACAAAAATTTTTTTTTTTTAATAAACTGAATGATATCATAAGAAATATTTGATTATAACAAAGACAGTTTTATCGTTTACTTGGATCGTCGATCAACATATGAAGGAAACTAAACCGAGCGCAAAACAAATGCGTACCCTCATTGATTACTAACGATTTTTTTTCTTATTTTCAACATTGCATTAGTTACATATTATTTGTGGAATGCCTCGTTGGTTTTATTTCAGCATCAGATTAATTGATGGTATTGGATTTTGATTTTGTTGATGTAGGAGCTAGTACAATTGCTGGTTATCCATTTGAAACTGTTAAGGTCTGTTGACAAACACAAACACTTAATTATCGTTTATATTCTAATTCATTAGATTATTTTATTAAAATCGCAAAACAAAAATCAATTTTAGGATTTTATAAAGGTATGTCATCACCAATGTTTGGTGTTACAATTATAAACGAAATTATTTTTTCTATTCCAAATCTTTCAAAAAAATTAATAATCTTGATACTTATTTTGCATTAGCAATAACCGGTGATATTGCTGATCGTACACAAGTATTTATACGTTCACCTGTTGAACTTATTAAACACATTTACAAATGCAAGGTACTGGACAACAAAGAAAATTATTTATTTTAATTTTATTAACACATACAAAGAACCAATTGATTGTTTAAAAAAAATCACATAAAAGACGAGATATTCAACATGAAATCATGCGTGGTTTATCAATGACATTTGCTCGAAATATTCCATCATTTGCTGCTTATTTTCCCACATGGACATTTTTTGTTGCAAATTTTCTCCAACAGGTAAAGAAATTGATATGCCTGTTTATTTAAGTTTAATTGATGGTGTTTTTACGGATATTGCTGCATGGACGGTTTCATATCTATTTCATGTTATTAAAGTCGATATCAAGCAGCACGTGATCATACATGTAAATTTGCTTGGAATTGTGACGTTAAATCATTTCGTACAAAAGGTTGGCAAGTATTTATATGAAGATTTGTACCATGTACACTTCGTGCTATTTCAACAAAAATGCATTTACTTTCTTGTTTATGCATTATTAAAATAAACATTCGATAAATCAACTAATGATTTAGTTTATATTTAATTAGTACATCTCTTTCTTTATTAGTTAATTGAAATTACAATTAAATTAACTATTTTATTTTATTTATAACAAGTATAAAAGATTAACGTTTCGAACAACAATGCCGTTCTTCATCAGAAGAGAGCGAGAGAAATGACGAATTATTTGATTTTGTATTTTTCTTTTATAATAGTACGGACGATAAATAATACACTTTTATCGTACTAGACAATTACTATCTCGTCTGCACCATTATTTAAAAAAAATACAACATCAAATAATTCTGCATTCCTCTCTCTTTTGACGAAGAACGACATTGTTGTTCGAAACGTTAATTTTTATGATTGTTATAAATAAAATAAAATATTTAATTAACTAATAAAGGAAGAGATATACTAATTAAATATAAACTCTGTTCGTAACCTTCCTAAACCGAAAACAATGGTATCACCACCATCGATTACTTCGATTTAATTGATGTCATTATGTCTGATAGAAATTTTTTTATTCTTTATAATTTTTTTTATATACAATATTGTACTATTGATCTAATAATTAGATCATTAAAAGAAAATAAAATTCTTAATATATGTTCTCGATTATTCATTGTGATCGATTTCGTTTCTGTTTAAAGAGAACGAGTGACATATATAGATCTATTCATAGATTTGTAGATGATATTATTTTATTTCATTTCTTTGTTTTATTCGTCTATTTCACTTGTAGTAAAAGAATCAATAAAATAAACAGCTAAATATAAAGAGATGAATGAAGAAAACACACGCTTACATTTACTATCACAAGTGGTCGACGCCATACAGCAATAGAATGCATAAAACGATGCATTAATAACCACGGCCACCATCAATATCAACAGTAAAATCACATCTTTCACGAAATTCATCGTGTATATTGAATGAATCAAACAAACCTTAGTAAATTTCAAATTTTATCAAAAAAAGAACATAAATTAAATCTTGTTTTTTTTATTAGAACAACTAGTCTTACAGGAAATAATAATAACGGTTATTGGTGAGATATTGCTCATGTAACAAGTCGTCATTATGAATAAGAACAAAGTACAAATAAAGAACGACGACCTGCATTTCGTCGTATTGTTCAAATATTTGTTTATATAATACTCTTTTGTGTTTTTCTTACATCAGCTGTTGTTAATAAACTTAGTTTATTTACTATGATTAATGCATATAAAACTCGTGAACAAGTTTGTTATTATTATTATTATTATTAATCTCTTTCAATATTTAATTAACTTGCCTTTTTCTAGCCGAAAGTATATAGTATTTAATGGCAAATACTTCTGCTTATTGGTATGGGTGAACCATATCTATTAACATTTCGAAACAGTGTTCAATTATCTATTTGTTATATAGAACGTTCTCCATCATTTTTTCTTGCTATATGGGTATATAAATCCAAAGAATAAATTTTGTTTTACTTTTATTTATTTGTATTTTAGGTTCATATTATAGAAGAATGTCATACAGCTGGTTTATCATTACTTGTCTTTCGTGTTCTATCTTCAATAGATAATGTTACGGGTTTATTTATATTCAATAGTGTATGTATAATACCAGCAATATTGAATCTATTATCTTCACACCGTGGTCTTAATCGAACAATGAAAATATTAACATTTTTAATGGATATTGCATCGGTTTTTATGCAATTATGTGTTTGTTTCATTCCATGGATTCTTTCAACAAAAGAAAACATTTCTATTGAACTTTAATGGCAGTTACCATTAGCACTTTTTCTTATTTCACTTGGTTATTGGGAAACTTTTGCTCAAACACGTATATTAAAACAAAAGTTTTTCGAATGGTTTCAACAGGGTATAAGACTTGCTTAACTGCCTTTATTTGTTTCAATTTAATTATTGTAAAGTCATTCTGTTACATTAAAGAAAAATACAACAATATTACTTATTATCCGCGCCGAAACTTGATGATTCTCTAG